CATTAGGATAGAGCAGGGGTCTTTAATTAAAACTCAGTAAGGGCCAGTTAGAGAAAATATCCTGAAGCAAAGGTCCAGAACATCATAATGTCTAACTTACATCATGATTCAGTGCCATATACTGTTTACTGAAGTAGCCTAGTAGGTATATCAACATTATACAGTCGACTGAATGTCAAATCAAATAAAGTACAGTTCTGTAATATTTCAACAATATTTATTGTCAGTTTTCTCTTTTTAGAGCACAACATGTGAAATAACTTCCCTCTGACTCACTTTCTTCTCCGATTGCTGTGTCTCGCCTCGTCCCTGCCCTGTGCGTGGCGTCACTCATTCGAGTCTCAGTGCTCATCGTAATGCACAGATCTAATTGGCTGAGTAGCGTCACGTGTGATGTTTACAACACATACGATTGGTCTGTGAGTCTCCGGGCACTAAAGCGGCACCATAAAGGCTAGAAATGTTACGCAGATTAAAATAGGACCATAATAATTCTCCATAGTTTATTGGTTGTAGGTCCAGGAGCGCATAGGACAGCGTCTGGGTCCGGACTCGGACCGCGGTCCGCCTATTAGTGATCTCTGGGCTAGAGACTGTCGTGGGAAAAAAATATTTCCACAGCTTTGCTCTTGACACAAAACTAAAAATAAACCTCAAAACACCAGGCTCGGCAGGAAAAGGCACAATTCCTTTATTGAAGATTAAGTCTTTCCAGAATCAAGCGTTAATCTTGAGTTGGCCCGGGAATCAACTGACGAACCCACGCAAATCCACGCTTTTTCTACTATTTTTGGTCAATACCTCCTAAATATTTCAAACTTTTTGATTTGCAGACCCTTATCTCCAAAAGTCACGGCTATTTTTACCACCTTTACTTCCAAAAGTAATATATATTTTTTTAATTGTTGCAGGCCAAGGCTGCTTTCAGGCCCAAGCCTTCAAGCTTTATTTGCTTCATTAGTTACATTTGGTTTCATGTTTTTGATTTATTTCTGCTACATATGTACTTTTCCTTTTTTTTTCCCAATGATAATTTTTAATGTCTCCTGATATAAACAGACTCCAGCTGTATGTGTGTGTCCCATCAAGCCACAGCCGACACCTCAAGGCCACTCACAGACACACACACAGCCAAACTGCTCATCCACCATATAATACTTATATATGAATAATTATGATTCAGTTCATCTAATACAATTGAAAAAAGGTTGCTTTGTTTCGTAGCATGACATTCGAACGCTGTGGTGAAGACCGGAATGTCTGGTGGTGGGAAGGTGAGGGCATATTTTGCTGCCTAAGGACCTGGACTAGTCTAAGTCCTGACTTGGACCCAATAGAGATGCTGTGGCAGGGCCTCAAAGAGCAGTTTATGCTCAAAAACCTACCAATGTGCCTGAATTTAAGTAGCTCTACGAAGAAGATTGGGCTCAAATTTCTCCACAACAATGAGGACGGATGACATGAAATTGTAGATTTTCATATGGGTAATTTGCATGTTGGATAACTTTGCTTCTTAAATAAATTAAATAATAATTTAAAAATTGTATTTTTTTAATTGAGACTGTTTTCGGTCTATTATTACATTTTATTAAAGGATATGAAAGCATTCAGTGAGGCAAACATGCAATAATGGAAAATTAGGAAGGGGAAATTTCTTTTTCCTGGCACTGTAAGTAAGATATTCTTTTTTGTCTTAATTATGTTCATAAGCAAATGAAAGTAGCATCTGCTTTACACAGATGTAGAAGGGGAAGTTACAGCGGGATGGTTTCACAAGGCTTTATTTTTTAAACTGCAGTCCAATTGCAATCAATAAATCTTCTAATACTAACATTTCTTTTAGTGAGTCGCTCGTCTGTGTCAGGGCGGCGGTCCAGACTTTCAGAGGAATCTGTGCTGTAACTTACAAAAATGAAATGGAAGCTTTAGTGAAAGTTCTGCCACGAAGACTCTGATGTTATTGAATGTCATTCATTCATTCATTGGTCCTGACCAATCACGGGCCTTCACCTGTCTTTAAAATGACTCGACTTATGTACCTATCCTGCTGCTTTCAGGTGCCTACGTTTTGACGTTCCCCTCCTTCCTCCCCACCACCAGTTGGGTCCCTGTCTGGTTGTCCGGGGGTAGGCTCCGCCCCTGCCGTCTCTATCCGGCAGGATCAAGTCAAGTCAAAGTTTATTTATGTAGCGCTTTTACAGCAGGTGTCGTCACAAAGCAGCTTTACAGAAAAATCTGGGTCCGAGCCCCCATGAGCGTCGCAACAGTGGCAGGAAAAAACTCCCTAAGAGTATGAGGAAGAGACACTGAGAGGAACCAAGACTCAAAAGGAGAACCCATCCTCCTCTGGTCGACACCAGATAGCAAACAGCATTAATATAAAATATTAGAATACAAAACGGGGGAAAAACAGGTGGAGCAATAGTTAAATAGATAGTTTAAGGTTATGCAGAGCTGAGGTCTCTCTGCTTTGGGTCCAAGTAGTAGGACCTCAGTTTTGTTAGGATTAAGAAGAAGGACACTGTTGGTCATCCAGCTTTTGATATTTTTAACACATTCTTCAAGTTTATTTAGATTCAGAGCCTCATTTGGTTTAGCAGATATGTAGAGCTGCGTGTCGTCTGCATAACAGTGAAAACTAACTGCGAACCTGCAAATTACCTTACCATAATTCACTCTTGCCTCCTGGATCAGCGAGGGTCTCGATGCGCCAAGACCTGGACGGAGGACGGCGCCTACGCCAAAGACCCTTTAATTTCTAGTTAATTGTTATCTTTCAACTTGTAAAACTGGATTGAGGATTTAAAAATTGTCCTCTGTCGCTCTTGAGCCTCCTGAGCCTTTCTGGCAGAACTATTATATCCCAAAGTGAGCTGATCTCAAACTGAGACAAACAAGTCCACCATTCATATCAAGGACGCAGGAAGGTGTTTTCAGTTTAGGGTGATGATATTTATAGAAGCACATGAGCGGTGACGTCATGCAAAATTATTTGCCTTTGTTAATTTAAATTAGAATGTGTCATAACGTGCTATAAGGTTGCGTGAGACGACAGTGCAAGGTAAGCTTAAAGTGGCCAGTGAATGGAAGTAGAAGATAGGTGTTTCTAATAAAGTTCACAGTAGATTTTTCTAATATAGTGGTCAGTGAGTGTGTGTATTTAGAATTGCAGCTGATGCTCTAACAGACTCGTACAGTCAATGAGCAATTCACAAAGTGCAGAGCTGACAAAATTTATTTACCCAATAGAGAAATAGAAATCAACCAAAGAACAATAGACTGTGATTACAAAAAGTAGAAAACGAAGCATGTACCCAGAAATGCATGAGGTTATGCGCAATGGTGTAAATTGTCATCATACAGTCATCAAATATCAGCAGCAAAAGGCAATCTTTAAAACCCATTCAAGCAATTTGAATCAAAACGCAGTTGTTACAGTTCCAGGTTAACCAGTGAGAACCAAATCATTAAATTTATTACAGACCACGTAGAAAAGTAGCATCAAATCGGATATGGATCATGACGATCAGGGCAGCCTCACATTTGAGGGGAGAGACCACAACTGACTTGAATTCAGAGACCAGTACAGAGTAATAATCTGTAAATGAATCTAATGATCTTCTCTGATCTGCTGATAGTAATACTCTCAATATTCTCCTTCTCCTCGACTTACATGCAGCTTTTGATAATGTTAATGATGATGTTCTTGTTTCTTGTCTTTCCTCTTTTGGCACTGATTCAGCCTTCAGCTTGTATCTTACAAAGAGACGAAGAGTCCACACAAGTCCTCCACCTGTCCTGTTACATGTGGTGTTCCTCAGGGCTCAGTTCTTGGACCCCTTCTTTTCCTAATCTACATCCTACCACTTAGCCAGATTATTCATAGCCATGGCCTTAACTTTCACTGCACATTTTTGATCTACGTCCCTCAATAAGACTGCATTCTTTAACTTACATTATATTGCTCATCTTCGCCTGTTCCTGACTGATAATGACACATAAACTTCATTGTGTCTCGTGTTGATTATCGTACCTCCCGCATTGTTGGTCTCCCTGTAAAGTCTATACAAAAGCTACAGTACATTCAGAACCCATTCAGAGAGTTCTCACCCATACTAAGCGTTCAGCTCATGTCACTCTCATTCTCTCTCAGCTACACTGGCTACCTGTCCTGTCCGGTATAAAGTTTAAAATTTTACTCTTCACTTTCAAAGCCCTGCATAACCTTTCTCTCCTCTACCTCAGAGAACTCCTGACCTCTTACACTCCCTCTCACTCTCGCAGGTCTTCTTGTAATAACTTGCTGTCCCTACACACCAGACTTTCCACCTTGGGACGGAAGTCCTTCAGTGCCAATGCCCACAAACTCTGGACCTCTGTTCTCCAATCCCTCCATGACTGCTGTTCTTTTCTACTTTTAAATCTAATTTAAAGACGTTTCTTTTCATGAGCATTTCTCTTCCTCCTTCACTGCTTAGTCTTAGGGTTTTTGTGTTCTTTGTTATGTAACGCTACCTTGGGATTGTGAAAGGTGGTATATAAATGTAACATTATTATTATTACTATTATTATTATTATTATTATTATTATTAACTCCTCCTAAATTAACCCAACTATCAAAATCACCTGAGTGATCAACATAACCAAAAATATGCCGCAAAACAAGACAAAGTCTAATGAAAATATACCCAAAGATCCAAATATAGTATCATTTGATAATAAGTGATGATAAATGCTGTGGGAAATGGTCAGTGTGGCCAATCCTGTACCCTCAGATATGCACATTGGTGTCCTTTCAGAGATAAACATTTTGTGTTTTCAGTATTGTAAATTTAGCCCATGACAGTTTTTATTACAAATTCCAGCGACCCCTTCAATCACTGCCCCACCATATGACAAATTCATTTTAATCCAAATTCTATTTAATTTCTGTCAGGGTACAATCATGGCCAACAACCACCAGCATCACATTGTAATCATAAAGGCCAAGAGGTTCTTCAGATCAGAGGAACTCCGTACACCTCCACCTCACACAGAGTGAGGAACTCCCATCTTCCTGGAATCACAATGTTGACGTACCGTCCCTCCATCCCTTTACAGTCAAAGGTAAAGGTCGGCACTTTGTTCTTAGTGCTGATCACTCCACACCTGTTAAAGCAAAAAATGAATTTTCAAACTTGTGAAAAAAAACTGCATAGGTAAGCTAATATTGATTAGGGCTGGCCAGAATAAATACTCAAAGTACTACTTTTTCTTTTTTCAAGCCACAAAAAAATGCCTTTAATAATACGAAGAAGCTATTCTTAATATGTGTGAAATGTTAAAATAAATAAATTACAGCTCTTTTAGTTACGTACATTATAAATTCGTGTTACCCCCTCGTCTTCACCGCTTCTCAAATGGCCATTAAAACTAAATTTTAAAATTTACAATAAGAAATTCGTATGTTCAGAAGGCATGACAAGTGTGATGAATCATCTCAAATATGTAAGCATGTTTGATTAATCCAGGTAAACTTATCCACACTGAGCCTATTGTGCCTCCCCTCTGTCATCACCGTACTTCACAGGCTTCAAAAGTTAAGTAGAGTAAACTGTGTAAAAGATCTAATTATTTTCAGAAACAGAAGAGCGCTAGAAATAATTCACTTAAATAAATGGAGCCTACTACAACATGAAAAACTCCACCAGCTAAAAATTCTGATCTCTTAACCAAACTCAGATTTTGTGGTGCTGATGGAAACCTGGCTGAGAAAATCTGTAAGAGATACTATATTGTTATAATCTGTATAGAACTGACCCCACCGCGACCCAGAAGGATAAGCGGTTTAGATGATGTATGTATGCATGTATTGAACTGACAGCATAGCAAAAATGGAGGAGTAGCTGTCATAGATACAGTATCCAAGCTATAACCCTTAATTCAGTCTCTGAAGAAAATGTTTTGGATTTTTAGCCCTAAAAGTGGGTCTTGCTGTTGTGAGGATCTGTAGACCCTCCTGCTCTCTCCTATGCAGTTTACAGTATAGCTGGACTTTTATCACAATACTGTATATGTGCTACCTATTTAATACTGATATAGAGATGCTGATGGAAGGTGATTTTAATCTTAACTGGCAGACTAATGCATCTGATCACAAGGAAATATGTGATAATCTCACTCACACACTACTTATTAATGAACAGAGTAGGCCAAATCTAAGTGATCTAAGGTAGATATGTTTTTAAACTGCAGTAAGAAAAGACACTTTAAACAATGGTAAATTATGAAATATTAATATTATTACTTTTAAGAGTGATTATAAGAGTTAATATTTTAGGACTGATCCAGAAATACCAATCAGTATTTTTAGCCTGTAAAACTCAGGTTGGACCTGTCATTGTAACATAATTGCAGATCAAAAGTATCACTGAAAATCTGCTCTTTTGTTGTTCAGCCCTGCAAGCAGTTTACCTCGGGTTATTGTTGCCGTTGTTGCCCAGACTGTCTCCGATTCTGATTTCAGCTCCATTCAGCCTGTCAGAAACAGCATCCTGCCTGTTAGTGACGCTGATGGTGAACACTTTGTGCTGTTTCAGCAGGTCCAGTCTCCACCAAGGGCCGAGGTTTTTTTCAGTGTGTGTGCAGGAGCCGCGATAGTACACACCATCTCGGTTCCCATCAATGGCGTTGGAAGGAAAACCACGATCATAAAGGCTGGACTGTGTAGCTGTTCCTTTCAGCGCTATGCTTTGTCCTGCACAGGAAACAATCAGTCTGGTGAAAAGGAAATCTGCTGATCCAATAAAAGATCAATACTGAAGTTTGCCTGTAAATCTAAGTATCCTCACTTTATCAGAAATGTGTCGCATGCATGGTTATGTTTTTGATTTAATACTTTTGCTGTTTTGCTGTTCCTGTCAGGGTGTATACTTGGGGTGCAACAACACACAAATTTGTTGATAAGCTATACTCGCCAGACAAAAAAAAAAGGTCACCTTGTGTATTTAAGGTGGTAGTAACTTCAGGCTCCTGCAGATGGGAAGGCATGAGGATGATTGGGCTGTAACTACTTGCGGGGTGTGTGAAAGGATTCATAGATTGAGAAGAGGTGGTACAGTGCAGTGAATGTCTCATTCGATGTGTAAAAAAAATGGATCGCAAAGCAGATGTTAATGATTGGCTAAAAGAAGTGATTGCATTTGGGCCAGAGTGAAGGAAGTAGCTGAATTTGCAGGTGTATCGAAGCTTACGGTCATACGAGTCGACCAACAGTGGCAAAAATCCCAGCCTACAGGAAATTCTCAATAGAATTGTGGCTGAAAGATGTAACTGATGGACAGGGACTGCCAGCATGTTTCACGGCTTGTGAATAAAAATTGCTTCACTTCCAGGCAAGAATTGCTTCTAGAATACAACGCAGGTTCTTCACAACCAATTTCTGAAAGAACACTCCGGTTGGTTGCAACACTTTGGTTGATGTGACAGTAAATTTGAACCACAGTGCTGACACTGAGCTGCTGGACAACCAGGTTTTGCCTTTTGCTCATCATCTTATTAAAGAACATCTATGGGACAACCAGGAACAATGAGTAATATGCCAGGGAAATCCACAAAATCTGGCCAAACTGTGCAATTCTTAGATGCAAGAGTGGCTGAGCACTGATGGCCTACTTTCAGAAGCTTGTCCAGTCTGTGCCAAATCAAATTGCAGCTGATATTCGTGCTTGTGTTGGTATTACAAGCTATTAGGTATGTTTCAGTCACAGGTGACAAATTTTTTGTCTATCTCTCTATTTGTCATCTATCTATTTGTAATTCCAAAAATGTTTTTTTTTCACCAAAAAGACAACAGTGCTTGTTGAAGGGCTTAAATGAGTGTTTAACCCAAGACTCTCTACTTCTGACTATTCGAAGCTACACACATCTCTTTTGGGTTATTTTTTTTGCCCATGCAGATTCACCACTTGGCGGCTGTTTAAATCCTGTGTGAGGAGTAGCTGCTGTGACTCATGTTCTCTCCTCCCTCTGCTAACTGAAGCTTTTGAGAGAGACTACAAATAAGTTAGCATAGTTGAGGTATTAGCATGGGCATTTGGTGTGACAGTGCCGACACACTGTCACCGTTCAGTCTGCCACTCTTTGCCCATCACTGTTGCACCTGAAAGACCTGGAAAGCTTCACTTCTTTCAGCTTAAGTTTGCTCTCTTTGTTCGTCATTTCAAACAGCTCAGCTAATCAACCATCCAGGGTAGATAAAGCTAAAGTTAGCTTCTTATTCGCCAGCTACATCTTTAAATTTTCCTCAGGCACCTGAATGTAACTGCTGCAACATTTAAGGTGGAACAGAAATGTCCAACCAAAACCAAACCAGTTTTTTCCTGTTTTTTTTCTGTTCATGGTTAAACGTTTCAGGACTATCATCAAGTTACATGATATTATATTTTGTATATAATAGTATAATATACAATTCTATAACATACAAATATAGAAATCATTCCTGATATAACACCTTTTCTAATATGGAATCTAACTGTATCCGATAAACAGCGCGTATCATCTCACAGCCCCCATACAGAAAAAAATTCATATTAACATTTGTATCATGACACCCCTATTATACACATGTACTGTTTACTAAATATGGTTACAGGGAGTAAAGATCAGATATGTGGCTTTGAAGCTACACTGGACTAATTCCTTTAGTCACTTAAGTCACTTGATCTAGGATCAAACGTTGTGCGTACTTTACTGTTCTAGTTTAGATGAGTAGAAAAGCAGTTTTATTTTAACAGTATAAAGAGTGATAAGTGTCCTTCTCACCAGATGGAGTGGGATAGCCATAGACCTCGACCTCACAGAGAGTCAGGATCCGGTTATTTCCAGGGATGATCACGTTGACGTAACGACCTGAGAAGCCTTTCAAGATCAAGGTGCTGGATTTTCCTGCAGGGATGCTAGAGATCACCCCAACCCTGGAGAGAAAACAGTACATATATGAGAGGATGTGCACATTTCTATAGGCCACAGTCAGGAATAGCTGAAACTGACAGAGTATAAAAAGACAAGAGACAAGAGTCAACTCAACATAGCCCTGGAGCTCTTGGCCTGGTACAATGCATGCTAGTTAGATTTTTGATTGAGGAGTCACAATTACATAAACCATGATATTCTCATGGGATGGAGGCCGTAGCAGTGGTCAGCGCCAGGCACGGCAGTTGATTTTTAACAAGCAGGACGAGTTGAGATGCGTCTTGATAATTGGTGGTGAACTCCAGACCTGGAATGCCGGAGTCCAGCACACTTTGGTGATTATCTTACTCAAACACTCCTAATTCAGCTCAGCAGTTAATTGCCAGGTTGTGTGTTAAGAGCAAGACAATTACTAATCTGTACTGGACACTGGACCTCCAGGACTGCAGTTTGCTACTCCTGCTCTTGATGACGACAGAGCTTAATCTTCATTGTTTGTCAACTTTGTTCCTGGAGATTTTCCTTCCTGCAGGTTTTAGCCCTATTAAATTTCACCTGATCCATTTAATTACTGCCTCCAGAAGTCTTTGATTAGCTAAATGATATGTGTCAGATCTGGTTTAGAGGTGAAACCTGTTGCTGGTAAAAACTCCCTGGCTTGATGGTCTTTTCCACTCGTCCTCCGACTACAGCTAGGTACCCTCAGTACCTACCAGTGGGAGGTGCACTTCAACTAAACTAGACAGGTAAAGTTTGTCAATAAACTTTAAGTTGGCTTTACAAAGCCAGCTAACAACACTTAATAACATGGTTGCTAGGGTGTTGCGACATGGTTGCTCCGTTATCTCAAGTGTTTGTTAAAATGTTGCTATGCTATCTTTACGAGGTGGCATCTGGTGTGTACAACTTTCCAAGAATCACCCGAATGCAGCATTACAACACACAGAAAGGGGCGGAGCCTGACCAGGAAACGGACTAATTTGGCTTGTGGTTTTAGACATGTGGTTCAAGTTTTGCTGTGCATAACTAGTAGCTTTCAAGTGATACTAGCAATTAGCTATTACCATTTTACATTGAAATGGAAATGGAAATCACCTGGTGTTGTTGTTTCCATTGTTGGCTAAAGAGTTTCCGATGTGTATCTCAGCTCCGTTGATCCTCTCTGCACAGCAGTCTCCTCTGTTATAGATGGTGACAGAGGTCACTGTGTACTCACCCAGAAGGTCCACCCTCCACCAGGGGTTCTGCTGTGCCTCAGTGGCGGTGCAAGAACCACGGTTGTAGTTTGATTCACTATTTCCATCTATAGCATTGTAGGCGTGACTGAATGCCGCATAGGAATTATTAACCAAGGATGACTGTGTGGCTTTTCCATAGAGAGCGAGGTTTTTGGCTGGAATGAAAAAAAGCCACGCAGATTTGTTCAATAATACATAAGCAAAAGAAACATCATTTTAAAGGTGATTCTGTCTAATTGTGTCAGGTTACTCTTGTCATCATTGTAACTTTCATTACATTTAAATATCATTTATAACCCCTGGGGGAGTCTATAAATCACACCAGCCCTGGAGAGAAAAGAAAACAGCACAAAGGTGTTTTAGAATTCTAAAGTCTTTTTTTCTGCATGATGTACTGATTACATCAGAATCTAGAGGCTACAAAACTAATGTGTGTGTGTGTAAAGATGTATGTTTACCTCTTAAAGATGCATCAGTGAAACCAGCCACTGTAATCACTCCCAGCAGGTAAAATATGTGATGTTTCATTTTTCTAAAAAACCCCAAAAAACAACAACAAAAAAACATAAAAACAACAAAAAACAAGTAAATATAGTACATTAACTCTATTAACTTGTATCTGGTTATTGCTGGGCTATCTTAATGCACCTCACCGTACTTTACATTTTCACAAAACACACTGCAGCAGTTTTTCTAATGTAATGCTGAAAGACAGTATGCAGTTCTTAGTGGTAAACATTACATTAGTGCTGTTCACTTATGATCTGAGCACCCAGCACATGTTAATGACAGGCGTAAATGGATGTAGCCGTTTCTCTCTGGCTGTACTCTGAGACTTGAAGGTATTTTGCTGATCCCAGGGATGCCGGAAGGTGTTGTAAGTTGGGGGTGCTGAGATTTTAAGCAGTATATATGTGATGTGAATAGTAATGTTATGCAAAATTATTTGCCTTTTTTTCTTTTTAATTTAGTTAGATAATTCATGCCAAATTCATATCATAACACATCATGATGTGTCATGATGTGCTATAATGGTGAGAGATGACAATGTACCCACATAACTCACACAATAAATGCACAAAATGATTCCACTCTCTCTCCTTCTGGACGAATTTTAAGCAAATTAGTTGAGTGACGTCCAATCCAGTGACATCCAGTGACGTCCAGATTTTTGATGTGTGGCACGGAAACTGATTGTGTCAGGTCCACAGTCACACAAACTAATACACACTAACTGAGAGATATGACAGTTGATTAAAAAAAGAATAAATTCAAAGCACGGGACATTATTGTGTTTTTTGACTAAAAAAAAACATATTAGGCCACGTTGGGGCTCAGAAACGGCCCACAGCTCTCTGTTTTAGTGACCTGTCCCCACCAAGTGCGAGAGGGAAGCAATTCGGCTCACTTAAATGACATATATTCTTGACGTAAACAGTGTAAGGCTGTTGCAGGTTTATAAAATACATAAATAAAAGTTCGAGTTCAAGCCTTTCTTTATTATTTAACCAACCCTGAAATCTGGGGACGCTGCCGCACCAACGGCACCCCCACTTCCTGCATGCCTGGTTGATCCTGCAGCACTCAAAGAAATCTCCTCCAGTTCACTGATCACTGAATCTCAGTTAGAAAAACTACTGCAATAAATATACTGGTACTCACACAGCTGCTTGCAGAGAATCTCGTCCTCCCAAAGTAACCTGGCACAACTGAAGTTCTTGTAAATTACTAGAGTGAGAAAGATTGTGCAGGAGTGTCTTTTATACATGTACACTCAGAAGTTCTAAGGGAACGCCTCATCATATTGTTTACATATATTAATCAGCTTTACAAGGAATTATGGGAACCTTCCTCTAATTTGAATTTGTTTTGGCACAAGTCCATCTCAGACTTTATCTGATGGCTCCACACATCCTCCCAAATATGCCACTCTAGTGATAAATGGCTCTTGATGAGCATGCACTGACAGTCTCATCTCCATTTTTCTTGCACTGGACCCTGACCTGAAGATGTGAACTACCTGTGCAGCTTTTCTAGTCTTTCTCCATACTTAAGACCCAGTCCAGTGACTAGGTCATCGTATGATGATGTACATTTCCCCTGAAAAGCATACTGACTCCTTAATATTGTGCTGAGAGACTTATCAATCTCCAGGGAGGATGAAGGAAGACAGTTACATGCCCAGGTCATCTTTTACTGGGACTTGAAGAAGAAGGGGACAGAACATAGGAAGGTTTAATAATTATATTCCTAATAAAGAGAAAGCCCATCATCCAGATAAGCATCACAGTAGCAAGCCGGTTATTAACAAAACAAGGAACTTGGAACAAGAAACAAACCCACAGCTAAGGACAAACACAACTCAGATGTACAAATAAGTATCACATGCTATGCTTTGCACACAAAGAACCACAGACTGTCACAGTGTCACAGTAAAAAACAGATGATCTCAGTGACAGTACAATTAATACGTATGTGCAAACAATGATGAACTGCACCATTTTGGAAGTATGTAAATTTAAAACACAGGGTCGAGCCTGCCGAAAAGCCACAGTCATCTTGAGACAAGCCCTAGGGTAAAGACAAAATCAGGGAGACAAGAGACAAGGTCAGGCAAGGTTCTGGGCCAGATACATGGTCATGGCCAGAGGTAGATCTTAGAATCAGGACTAGAGATATAGATGGGGCACAGTGTCAAGGCAAGATGAAAGGTCAGGGCCAGAGACATAGATAGGTACAGAGTCAGGGCCAGATGTATGTGTAATTCTTAAATCTATAGAAATTACTTGCACTACTCCTCTCAGCCATCGGGGGCAAATGTAGCAGACTGTGCCATGTCTTTCATAAAGAAAGAGCTACTAAGAACTCTCAACCCCAATAACAATGAGCAGGTCCATTGAAAGCAGTAGCTAAGAGTGAGGAACAAAAAGCACTTAAAACAGTTAAAATAGTATTCAACAACATGGCCAGAATAAAACAATTAATGAGTACAATGCCACAGCACTCTTGACATCATAAGTAAACATACAAAACCAAAACATATCATCACAATCAAGAATTGAAAGTGGCAATTTAACAGCGACCACCCAATGGATTTAAGATGACGAGGCCAGCACAAAAGTGTATAATACGTCAATGCAATAAAGATTTTATTTTTGGTGGCCACCGAGCCCCAAGGGCGAGGAAGCAGGGGGATCTGCATGCTGGCAGAAAACACTCATGGAGCTAAGCTGCAAAGAAAATCCGTTAGGAGCCAAGACCACCTGAAAGCTGTTATGCTTCAGAGCTTGACACATCCCTGTGCTCCCTTTACAAACCCGCCACTATGATGATTCCAGAGCAACTCTTTATTTCCCACCGAGTCCAGTTTAAATTCAGGGATTGGCAGAATTGCAAAACCATCTTGAGCGTTCTGTGTCAAACCGTGCCCTTGTGGAAATGCCACTGCAATGGTTACTCTCCATCTGTTCAGCCCTGTAGTGGAAAAGAGGCCATGGTTAGGAACAGGGTCAGGGGCACAAACAAGGTCAGAGACAAGGTAAGGAGCCAAAGACAAAGAGGCATAGGCCTTTTCCACTGTGGTCAAAGGGTGCCCAGGGCTGTGCTGTGCGTCAGAATCTAAACTGTTTTCTGGTCAGAGCTAGTAGCATGCTAGGGTTAGAGTGGCGCAAACGTCTAAGCGTTGGCCCTATCATCAGGAAATCGCAAGTTCAATCCCTGTTGATGCTACAGCCGTCCACGGCCGGGAGTCCAAGAGAGCACAATTGGCCGCACTCTCTGAGTGGGTAGGATGGCCCCCCTTCTCCCTCCATCACTCAGCGCAACGCTAGTCAGAGCAGGCATCTGTTAGCTGACGTAACAGAACTGGCGGTTGGTGCTTTCCTGTACAATGATGTTGCATGAGCGGCAGTTGGAAAAGATGCGGCGGCTGGCTTCACAGGTCTTGGAGGAAGCCTGTGCTAGCCTTTGCCCTCCTAGCATTGGTAGTATCATGTGACTGGGGGAGTCCGAATTAGTGGGTGAAATTGGAGATGACTAAATTGGGGAGAAAATCGGGTAAAAATCTAAAAAAAATAAAATCGTGTTGCTGGCATCAAATTCAAAATGATCTTATACTTTTCAAAAAACAACATTTCACAGTTCTGGCATTTTACATGTTGTTTTTGTGGTTCGGACCATGCCTTCAACATGTGGTGGCAGTATGAGGAAAGATTAATTAAGGGAAGGGAGAAGAACTCTCAGAACTTAGGCTGGAGTTCTGGGTGGCTTCTGCCTGGAGCTAGAAGACCGGACCACCAAAAATTCCAAGATGAACTCAGAAACTGTTCAGGTCTAGGACTGAGTGAGCTTCACATAATGAGTAGGACAGATGTCCAGAAACCTCTGTTCTGCAAGAGCTTATTCTGAAGTGTAGCAGCTGGGGTGGAGAACTTTGTATGAATTCAGAATCTGGTGTTGATCAGACAGTCTAGTATTTGGGTATCTGAGTGAGGCATAGTATGGTTAGGTAGAGAAGTTTAGCCTACGCAGAAAAGAGGTCTAGTTACATTGACGCTTGTATGGTGCTTGAAGTAAGTAGTTTTGCTGTTAAAATTGTAAAATGAGACGAAAAACAGAACAGATTAATTTGATTCATTGTGAGATAGTGGCATGCTGTTTAACAGACATCCAGGTCTGAACCCCTGATGAGCAAGCCAAGGGTGACAGCAGCAAGGAAAACTCTCAATGAGGGAGAAACCTTGATAGGAACTAGGACTTGACAGAGGAAACCATCTTCCTCTGCTTGACACCGGATTGTGAAGATTGTGTTAAACATAGCAGGCAAAAGAAGCTGGATGAGAGTAAAGCAGATTATATCCTCCTGAATGGAATGAAAATGGAGCGGGAATGGCTATTAGAAGGTAGTTGCTACATGTGGGAGTTGATGGGTGTGATGACGGAGGCAGCTGGATGATGCTGTGGTCACTGCAGGATGTAGTTTAGCGTGGAAAATCCTGGAGGCAACAGCATGGTTGTTCAGTTATGACATTGGATAAGAGCCACTTGCCCCCAAAAGGACAGCGATAGTGAAAGGACTTGGCCCTTAGGGACTGAGAGCTGAATGTGATGAGAGTGAAGACAACAGCATGAGGGAAATCAAATCAGCAGTGACAGAAGAACGGCTGAAAAGACTAGGTGAGCACCAGGTTCCCAGGGGCACAGGCAGCATCTTCACAAACCAATATTAGTCCAGTCTGAGGGAAAAGAAAGAATTGGAGTCAAGTCGAGATGGAGCTGATCCAAGGTGGAGCTGATCTGAGGTGAAGCTGAGTTAAGACAGGGATGAGTTGCAGAGCTGATGGTGTTGGACCTGGTCCGAGATGGAACTGAACTGAGATGGAACAGATCCAAGATGGGGCTGATCTGAGATGGAGCCGAGTTAGATTAGAAAAGTTGTTTGTACTTGGGGCTGATCTGAGATGCATCTGATCCAGGGTGGAGCAAAGTTGATTCAGAAATAAATTACAGAGCAGAGTTGCATTGGAGCTGATCCAAGATGGAGCTGATCCATATGAAGCCGAGTGGAATCAAGAAGAGTTGCAAGCTGATTCTACTGGAGCTGATCCAAGATGAAGCAAAAGTGAGTCAGAGATGAGTTGCAGAGCTGAGTTGCATAGGAGCTGATCTGAGATGGAGCCGATCTGAGATGGAGCCAATCTGAGATGGAGCCGAGTTGAGTCAGAAGTGAGTTGCAGAGTTGATTATACTGGAGCTGATCCAATATGGAGCAGAATTAAGACAATAACGAGTTGCATGGTGAGTTGTGTTGGAGCTTATCTGAGATGGAGCCAATCCAAGATGAGCTGAGTGGAATCAGAAAAGAGTTGCACAACTGAGGCATATTGGAGCTGGACCAAGAAGGTGTGGAACATGAGATAGAGTTCTGTTGAGATGGAGCCGAGTAGAGTCAGAAAGGAGTTGCAGAGCTGGTTTGCAGGAGCCGATCTGAAATGGAGCAGGCTGAGATGGAGCTGGGTTAAGATGGAGCTCAGAAGGGATGGAGCTGAGAAGGGATGGAGTGCTGAGGTAGAGGGAAGAAACGGGTGGGGGAGGATGCGGAATAAAAGGGGCAGGGGGGATGCAGGAAGGAAGGGAGGAGGATGAAGGATGAAAAGGTTGAGAGAGAGAAAGAGAGAAATAAGGCCTGAAGAGATGAAAAAGAGAGAGAAAGGGATGAAAAGAGGTGGGTGTGGGATTAAAAAGGGGTGGAACTGGGATGGAAAATGAGTCTGGGGGTTTGGATCAGTAGGTTGAGCAATTGCAATATCACTAAATTACATAATACTCCATGGAATGGAACATAAAAAAAATCAAGTGGCACTATCAACATTACATAGGCAGTGAACACAGTACAATAGGATCAAATATGCAGCAAAAAGCAAAAAAGGCTTAACAAAATATGGCATTGCATCCAATTGAGTAGATGCAAGGCATGGTAAGGGACAGGAATTTTGGCCCCATGTCAGGTAGAAAAGAGGAGAATATGAGGGAGGTGGAAAGAGACAATGGCAAGAGAGAAGAGAAATGGTGGCTTGTGAAGCCAGTTGGAACGGCATAAAGGGGTGACGTCATCGAGCAGAATACACGCTCTGCTGTGACGACATTGCACAGGGTGAGCATGGTGTTGTCCCATGGTTTGCGCAACCACACAAGCTGAGGGTTAGTGGGGGGCAGAGGGCAGGTTTTGTTTACATCCAGCAGAGCCGAGATGGAGTGAAATATGTCAGCACAGAAGAAGCCATCAGGGCATGCTGGTGTGTGGTCACAGTCCAGACAAGGATTTGGATGGTCTTGTGGAGGGCAAGGGCAAAAGCGTGAGCTGTTGAGGCTTCAGAACACAGCAGCCACGCTGGAAGCATTGGAA